CCACCCCGGGGCCCCGTGGATGCCGCCGAGATGGGCAAGGTGCTGTCCAAGATCTTTGGTAACAAGGAAATGCGGATCCTGATGCTGGGGCTGGATGCGGCGGGCAAGACCACCATCCTGTACAAGCTGAAGCTGGGCCAGTCAGTGACCACGATCCCCACGGTGGGCTTCAATGTGGAGACGGTGACATACAAGAACGTCAAGTTCAACGTGTGGGATGTCGGCGGGCAGGACAAGATCCGGCCCCTGTGGCGGCACTACTATACGGGCACGCAGGGCCTGATCTTCGTAGTGGACTGCGCCGACCGGGACCGCATCGACGAGGCCCGCCAGGAGCTGCACCGCATCATCAACGACCGGGAGATGCGGGACGCCATCATCCTCATCTTCGCCAACAAGCAGGACCTCCCCGACGCCATGAAACCCCACGAGATCCAGGAGAAACTGGGCCTGACGCGGATCAGGGATAGGAATTGGTATGTGCAGCCCTCCTGTGCCACCACAGGGGACGGACTCTACGAAGGGCTGACGTGGTTAACGTCCAACTATAAATCCTAATGGCGGGGGGGACACGCACACGCGCGCACACCTACGAATGAAACTCTTTTAGGCTATGGAGAATTTAAGGAAAATAAATGAATGAATAAATAAAGAATTAACCCACGTGGCTTCCCAGAAGAACAGTTCTCAGTGGAAAAGCAAAGCATCCATAGGATTATGATCACCTCTTCTCCCACAACTGCCCTTTTCTTCAACACAGTGACTGGATTCCTATTTTAACTCTTCTTGCTTGGCATTAGGATGCTCTAATCTTCGAATGTGACACGAACACAAGCACTAGATGCTATGGCAGACTTCCAGCAAACAGGGGGAAAAGACACGTTGTAGATTTGCTAAGTAACTTTTTTTTTTTCATTCTTTCTTGATTGCCCTTTAATTTTTTTTTCCCCATTCCTGTGGGGTGGGAGGAGCAAGGGTACCTCTGGGTGTATGCTTTCTGGCTCTTTTTTTCTTTTGAATTGCTGTAGATTGCTACTTTCTTGCATTCATGCAGAATATGTTGATAGGTCTATTTCATCTAGTAAACTAAAAATGATTGCTTAAAATCAAACCGCAGTCTGTCTTTTTATATGGAGGACTTTTTTAAAAAAAAAGAAAAGTTCTGCTGATCTGTAATTAGTGACTTGAAATTTTTGTCTTTTCATATCCAAGACTAATATGAAATTAAAAAAAAATTTGCCTACAGCAGCAAGTAGTGAGAATACCATTGTAATGCATTCAAAGTGTATATCAGGTGTAATGTTAACTAGGTAATGTAAGAACTGCTTGAAATGTCAGCTGTGAAGTTCTGAACCATACATCATGCATGAGTAGGGATGCAAGTAGGTCCCATACAGCATAGCAACCATATAACGAGTAAGATGTGAATGATGTAATAGTTTCAGGGTATACTCCTATTCAGTTCCTGTCTTGCATTGCAGCTAAATATCACCAACTCTTGTGACCATAATCAGTTATGCATCAGACTCCCATTTCAATGCAAGAGATCTCCAGAAAACGTAGCAATAATGTGATGACTTTTACTTAAAATCAAAACTGTGGGCAAAAATCAGACCCTGACTTCCTTGCCTTGCAGTACAGGAAACAAATGTTCATATTGACTTTTTCCACCCCCCCTTGCCTTACGTGATTTTTTTTAATGTAGCTTTAAAGTAGCTGCAGAGAAACAACTTCTGTTTCTGTACCATAAACACTCAAGAAAGCTCACTCCTAAGCTTTTAACTGAAAGGTATTTTTTCTTTTTTTCTTTAATGCTTGAATAATTACCATTTAAAGGAAGTGATTATCAGTTTAGTTTTTGCAAGACCACAAGTTAACTAATGCAAGTAGCTGCAAATGGCCTTAACCCTCTGTTCCAGTAGCATGTTAATATAATTCTGTATGAAGGGATCTCCATTGGCTGTCTGAACTTAAATCCAGTGAGTAACTGCTCAGTCAGGGTGGGGAGAAGAGTGAGTATATGACTATGAATGTAAATCTCCATATTTAAGTCTTAAAGGGCAAGCAGCTCACTTGCTGTATCACGGTTTTCAGATGCCTGTGACTGGCAAAAAAAAAAACAAACCAAGTATTTGAGTAGGTATGAAATGACTTCAATCAAATATTAATACTAGGTGCAAAAAAAAAATTGTAAAGCAGCTGGCTCTTATTCAGCCTTAAAGATTAACTTCAGATTTCCTCAAGGAGTTAAAGTCTATTGGGGAATTCTAGGAATGTATGCTACAAAACCAGAAGAAAATGGCTTTTTTTCTCTCTCTCTCTCTCTCTCTCTCTCTTTTTTTTTAAGGTATTAGAGTTGCATTTAAATTGGGGCATTACACACTACATTTCTGCAATTTTAACTCTGCATGTTAAATATAATGTACATGGAGCTTTTTACCAAAGATGTATGGGAAGATTAAAAATTGAGTGCTTAAAGCCACTTGGAGAAAAAATTAGTGATTTAGAAAATGGCTCTAAAGAGGGACACAATTGGTGTGAATTGCAAATGGCAATGAAAGGGTTCTTGATGCTAGAAAATGGAGCAGTGATTCCTAAAGAAATCTGTGTAAATGAAAAACAAATTGGAGAAGCTAGCTAAACCAATGATCCTAAATTCCCAGTCTGGATGGGGAAATGAAAGATCTCTACTTGATCTCATAACTGAAAGTTCATTGCCCTATTTTTCTAGCTATTACAAATTCCAGAAGCCTTTTATTTCAATTTAACTGGTCAAACATAATGTGGTGTAAAGGTGCAGAAACCAAAGCACCAAGATACTGTTTTCTTCTGGAAAAAAAATTAAATAAAGCCAAGCACAAAGTAGATGCCTAAACTGGAAAACTTGAAGCTCTGTTATACTGATGGTTCTTAAACATATTCTCAATCAAAATGAAAACTTGGGTTCTTTCAGTTTCAGTCTAGAGCTAGTATGTACTGCATTCTATCTCCTCAAACACGGTTTGGGGATAAGCCTAAATTTGCTTCATTAGACTTTTGCATTAAGTTGAATTCACAATTTTTTGTATCTTCTTGGTAATTTTTGTTACTTTAGATATCCTGTTTTGTAGGTAAAAGGATGAAATTTAATTATACTTCTGAATTTTTTTTTAAATGTCATTCTGGGAGAAGTAACTTTAATTACTGAAACTTGTGTGGCAGATGATTAAAAAAAATAAACACCTTTTGCTACTGAACAAAAGATAAATGCTTCATTTTGAAAATGTCCTCTAATTGGGTTATAGTTGAAACTAACCAATGGCTTCAATGCACTACTTAAGCCTGCAGGATAAAGTAGCAATCTGTGTAAGAATTCCAATCTCTTCAAAAAAGAATCTGAAGTTTAAGTGCATCAACCTGTGTTCATGTGAATTTTATGAGTAAGGGTTTTTTTTGTTTTG